GATAGAGATGCGCAAGACGACGCTTGGCGAGGATCATCCCGAAACGCTGAGTAGTATGGCCAACCTGGCATCGACGTTTTGGAACCAGGGTCGGTGGGCGGAAGCGGAGAGGCTTTTTATCCAGGTGATAGAGACTCGCAAGACGAAGCTTGGGGAGGATCATCCTGACACGCTAACTAGCATGGCCAACTTAGCATGTACATACTGGGCGTTATCGCGCGCTAAGGATGCTAAAGCTCTGATGAGGCATTGCATCCAGCTACAACGAGTTAAACTGGGCGCTAGCCATCCACAGTATTTGTCAGCTGCTGAGACTTTAGCACAATGGGAAACTTGACATCCTTCCGTGTTGAGGATGTCAATTACTTCTTACGCTTTTGCAGCCTAAAATGGGCAGCGAACCGGAAATCCGAAAATGTGCCATTACCGTCGCATGCTTTCTAGTCAGGATAACACTGTCCACTCCCCAACGTTGTTTTACACCGCGCATAGAAGCATCTTCTGAGGCAGCCAGAAGTACAGGATCCAGAAATAACAGGGTTCCAGAAGTGAAAGAACTCAGAAGTGGAAGGCGCTCAGAAGTGGAGAGCACTCAAAAGTGGGAGACCAGAAGTGGAAGAGTTCCAAAAGTGGAAGGGATCTGAAGGAAATGAACGTTCATGATGCTTTGTGTCAGGAAGTGGACAACGGACGGACATTTTTGTCTAGGCAGTAAGTGGGCACAGCCTTGCCATTCCTAGAGTGCAGCTTCTTGGACAGACCGACGTCACAACTTACCCGGTCGGATAATTGGTGGCCTATCAGTTTGACAAAAGGCCATTTTGAAGCTGGACCCGGGAGCTTCGCTGCACAGCTGCCTCCATATAGCAGTGGCGGCCCTGCGCCACATGACACCCTCCTGGTGAGCTTGAGAAGAGTGCGAATAGCAATTTGCCAGTGTCGCGTACAAGTGCTTGTCGGTATACAATGATACATTCAACTACCAATAATGTATCCATAAATTGTCTTTGCTATAATAGCCTTTCCATTACTCTTTTATTGTAATCCATGAACTACTACTTCCGCCCAGTGCGGCCTTCTACGAGGAGCAGCCGCGTCCATGATGACAGCGAGAGAGTTCTGGTTTTCCGCATGCCATAAAGAGAAAGCTTGTTGCCACGCCAAGACGTATCGACCAGATAGATGATTTAGCGAAATACGCTCGCCTGCAAATCTTGGCCATGCTCCTTGAAATGGCTGGCAAAGTGCTCTTTGTTGCCCAGGATGGCCTCGCAATCTTTCCATGGGCACGGAAACGGCATTTGCAACCGGTTCAGATGCATGACTCTCAAGTGCTTTACCAATGCTCTCATTGGCCAAGTTTTCGTGCGGTCAGCATTTCCATGATGTCCTTGCCAACGACAAAACGCGCAGAGTAGTCCTGCTTCAACGCTTTCTGGTGTGTAGTCCGGCTTGCTTTGGTGACGCGGTCGCACTCTTCTTCTCTCGCCGTCCGAATCAGCTCCAGCAGAACTGGGTGGTGATTCTGGCTTACTTCGTCACAGACAATATGTAGGAATACAGCGCAGATCAAGAGCAGCTAAAGTACGTACCTTTTGATCAATAATGCCGTGAAACCAAAAATCACTTTGGGTTTGTAGGCTTGATCGCGCCAGGAATGCGTATATCGCAGAATCACATTTGCGTCGACAAACAGCTGACCTGTAGAAACGTGCAGTTTCAAGGCTCAACGTGCCGGGCAGATGAAGATTCCATTCGTCAGGCGCATGCCACAGCTCTCACGCAGGCTCTCAATGGGCGCTAGTGGTGCTAAAACGAATGCTTTTAATGCTTCGATTGGTCTCTCATGTTCTACACTACCCTAATTACGCCATATACAGAACAATAACATACTCCTTGAAAATCCTTTAGACAAGACAAAATGCAGCCAAGGATAATAGCATGCCTCCTCATCCACGCGCTGGCCTCTGACCAGAGTTAAAGATACTACTTGAAGAAAAGCGAACCTAGGCAGGACGTTGCTCCGGCGGTGGGGTATCGGAGGCACAGCGTCGCCATGGCAAACGACGATATTTTGACGGTTGGGGAAGCTAGTTCCAAGATGATTTAGCTTGCGGGTCAATAGCCCGAGACGAGAGTGTGTAGGGAGGAGAGAGGGCTCTGTTTACGGGTACTATGGTGAATGCCTTACCAGACCATGGTGTGGCAGCGACAAGCTAAGGTATTTACCGAGCATCGCATGCATGTCGTAATGATTAGTCCGTCGCAGCACGCCATGTTGGGAGGCAGGTAACGGCTGATGGTGAGGAAAGAGTACAACGACATGCTTTGTGTTTCGTGAAAGGCGCTTACTCCTAGCCATATCCGCGGCAAGAGCATGATCCCTCAAGGTCATTGGGCAAGTATGCGCCAGCACAACCAGCCAGTGGGTACCATATCATTCACCCGCAAAGAACCTTAAAATTGCTCCGTAGTACTCCATGCGTAGCATCGTTAGGGTCTTTCCATGTCCACGTGTGCTGGGACTTCGTGTCCAGGCCATGGATGGCAATGATGTCGATGTCTGCGTTCGTGCTGTCGTGGATTAGAACAAGCCCGGCGGAGTTTGATTGTTGACCTGTGTCGGCGGCCATGACTTGTGGTGGAGCCCAAACTTCGGCGCCAGGTCGTATCCCTAGCGCAGGAAGTCCAGGTTCTGGGACGTGGCCAAACGACTTGGAGTTCCAGACTCTGGTATACACTGCTGGGAAAAGACACCACGGATGAAGCTGAAATTGGGAATACACAAGAATTGGAAGAAGTTGGGCTGATTTGGGCAGCGACGTCTGATGTGTAACCAGTAGGATATATCAGCCGAAAATTGTGGCCGGTAAGAAACCGCTGGTGCGCCACGGCGCTTCGGCAGCACTCTGGACACTACATGAACCAATCAATCAACCCCACCACAGCAGCGTCTGGTTGCTTCTATAACACCCTGCTCACAAAGCTTTCCCATCCTGTGTATGGCACACCAAGCTCCAGGCAGACGCGAAGCAGGGTGGCAGCAGGACGTCGCGGGACAACTTGAGCTGGGGTTGTCTATAATGCCTGCACCAAGATGCAGTTCAGCTCACTCTTGGCCGTCCAATAGAACCATGCCATAACGCGCAGCCCCCTGCACCCGCACGAGGTCACACCGAGATCCGCCGACGCCGACGAGGTCGTCCCTTCTTAGTATGCTTGGAGATGTGGCTGCCCGAGACGAAGGGTGCTCCGCGATCAAGGCGACGCCGCCAGGGGGCACCCAGGCGCACTTTGTACCTTAACAGGACAATCAACCCCATGTACGGGCAAGATGGCGACCGTGCAGAGCTCGGTATTCCGCACCACGCTCTCGGTCGCGACGCGTTTGAACAGATGCATTTGCAAACAGGCACCTCCCTTCCCCATCCGGCTCCTCGAGCAACACGCCGTCACGTCCCGAGACGAGCGCGACCAGCTCCTGACGCTGTTGCCCGCGCTGTACCGCAAAGAGTCTGGTGACTTGGCCGCTGTCAGTCAGCATGGTACGGCTTGTGTGGAGGAAGACTACTGCGCCAAAACCAAGTCAAGGGAATGACGAGCATCGACGCGATGGCCTGGAGCACTCGGGCAGCCCGCAGGTAGCGCTCGCTCTGCGCATAAAAATCGGGCAATCCGGCTAGCCTGTCGCCAATCGGTCGATAAGTCAAGACGCAGATGAGAGTCCACGAGACTGCTGAAACCAGGGCAAATAGGGCGGTGAGAATAGCTATGTCAGGGTGGCGATGAAGTGTCGTTGAAGGCTCCTTTTCGACCACATCATTCAAAGTAGGCCCATCTTTGGCTGGCCTGTCTCTGCTGCGTTCTACCTTGGTAGACATCAAGCCTTGAGTCTCTTCAGTCATACTGGATTCTTCGAACTGGGAATGGGTAGACTGGCAGATGCATGAGATGCAGCGGCTGTGCGACGTAAATAAATATATCAGGTTTGAGACCAGTGTTCTGTCAGCCTTGCGGAGCAACTGGGCGAGTAATAAACGAATTATGCCCGCCACTTTCTATAACTACCCCTGGCACTATGAGCTCCCGAACGGGTAATCGCCCGAATGACGGCATACTCGACCTATTCAATTATAAAGGATTTTTCACCAGGCCAACCCCCCCGATATTCTCCCAGCTTCTACGCCTTACATGCGAGGCAGATATACTGGCTGAACCTTGCAGTCCGAGCCGCTGTGCGTTTTTGCAGCGCAGCATCTATATCAAAAGGCCGATATAGAAGATTGTTCGTGTGACACGTGTTCCTAGCTTCCTATGATGGGCCTATCTACAACATCCTGGTTAGTCTGCTCCTCTATGGATCCAGGCAGTGCCCGCCGCCGCCTGTTGCGCAGCGTCGCTCAGCCTCCAGCGCAGCGATTTAATCAAGAGGCTTGGTCTTAAAATCGCTCTGCCGTCGCACTAATTAAAATGACCCTGAATATAAGCTCCTTCATGATATAAGGTAAGCGTGCGACGATTTTGTACTGTGCGCTAGCATGTGGTTGTCTCAGGTCGCAAGGCTCACTGTAAGGCGCCCCAAGGCGTGGCACTACACAGCCCTGAGATGTGCTGCAGACGACCAAACGCGGACAAAAACCGGGCGACCGAGACTCGTTTGACGGCGGATAATCTTGAGGTCGGTTGAGCTAAGGCGGCGGCCATGTAGACCAGCAAGGACTACCAGGATTAAATCCACTAAATCTGTCCGGTATGTGTGGATTACGCTATTTGCTAGTACATCTCGAAGGTCACGTTGTAGCTGAGCTGATGTAGCCTTGATTAAAGACGCCTCTGTTAGACCTTAATGGACCTCCGTCGCTTGCTAGGGGAGGAAATAGAGGGCATCCAGTTATAGCCTTCCGGAGGGCAGGAATAACTGATCGCTCGTCAATACTGACGAGACCTCCGTTCTTGACAGAGTCAAAAGTCAACAGGATGTATTAGATACCAACGTCGGCAAAGAAGACCCCGTCGGTAGATGTCGAACAGAGGCTTAAAGCGCTTATTGCAGAGCTCTCTGGAGCTGATGTCGATAAATCCGGCCTGACAGCATGCTGGCCGATCTTGGAATCGATTCACTTCTGAGCATGGAGCTGGCGCAAGACGTCGACTCGGCTTTCAAGATTCATGCCCCGGAGGATATTTGAGATGATCGACATGCTACGCTTGGTCAGGGGCGTTGCAAGTTTGGTGCGGTTCTGGGGCGGATGAGGATAGCAGTTCGGATGAACAGAGTGGTTCCGAGTGCGGCAGCGGCGTGAATACGCCTGAGATGGTGCCGGATCAAGGCGGTGCGGAAGAAGCGAAGCGATGATATCAGTTTGTGAAGAAGTTTTTAAGTACAGGCAGCTAGGTCAAATAGTCGAATCAAACACCAAAGTTTGCCCTGAACGAATCAAGATCCCATCATGTCGTATTTATGGGCATCATCTTGGCGCTGCAATCATGTAGGCTCTTTTTCTAGGTCCTAACCAGTCTTTTCATCAACCAAACGATCACTCTTCGGCAGATGTTTCTTCCCACTATGCATCACCATATCATAGAAAGCACTCTTCTTGGCCATTAGATCGTTCGGGTTGCCGACCTCTAGAATCCTGCCTGAACCCATGACCACCACCTTGTCATAGTCCATGCTGCAGCCGGTGAGCCACAGTTATAAGAACCCTATTTTTGCCGCCTATACGAGAGAGCTCAGTGCGAAGTGCTTCTTGCACACTAGCGTCAGTGCGTGCATCCATACTTGACGTTGCCTCGTCTAGAAGAATAAGCTTAGAATGGCGGATCAGCACGCGACATAGCGAGAGTACCTGCCGCTGGCCGTGGGAAAAGTTCTCGCCCTTAGACTTCACTATGGTTGATAGCGTAAGCCTCTCCCCCGCCTCGTCTGCTGATTGAAGAATGCGCTGGCACACATCTAAGGCGTTCTGAAGTTCTGATTCTGGAACCGTTTCGGAAGGGTCGAGGTAAGAAGCAAGAGTTCCTTGAAATAGTTGTGCCTCTTGTGGAATCGTGGAAATGCATTGTCGTAGACGCTTGTGTGGAATCGCGTGAAGATCCACTCCATCGTGGAGTATTTGGCCAGATACGACATTTGCAAACCTGAGGAGAGATGAAATCAGCTATAGTTAAGTTAGCTGCGTGAAACATGTCGTTCTAGCGATCAGTACTGACTGTGCTTTTCCCGCTGCCGGTTCTGCCAACGATTGCAATGCGCTCGCCAGGCTCAATTCTCAAAGAGATGCTCTTTAGGATGTCCTGTCCATCAGGGTTGTATCGAACTGTGACATTCCGCAATTCTACGGCACCAGTTTTTGGCCAATTTGCTGGCACGTACTCGCTGCTCTTGGTAACGCAATCTTTCTCTGGTGCCAGCTGGGCGTACTCCCGAACGCGCTGGAACTGCACGCCACTCAGCATTAGCAGATGGTAAAAGAGCTCCCCGTATTTTTCAAGACGTACCGTTTGAATACTGACTCTTAGATTGTTAAAACCAAAGATCAGAGCCAATACCTTGTCGCTAAGTTAGGGCTTCACGCTACTGGCGAAAGCACACAATCTTGGCCAAGACGCAACTCATCTCCAAACTAAGCTGTGCGTAGAAGAGTCTCGCTTCATACAGTGGGCAAGAGCTGTGAAGCTATTGAAGGATTTCAATCTGCAGTCTGGTCAGAGCGACGACAAACGCGATGCGGCAAACACTCAGAAGGATTCTAATGCGATAAGCGATGGCCCAGTCGCGGTACACTCTGTGGCGGACGAAGGATGCTTTCTGTCGGTGCAGGTTGACCCAAGGCTCAATTGCGCGTTGGCATCTCAACTGATGACACAACTCCAGGTCATACTGACCACGGATAAACTTCGACAACGCTACGGACTAGATCTGGTGGATATGCCAAACTTCAAGCCTACTGTCGCCGGGCCTCATACCCCGCCACCGATCAAAGAGGCCGAAAATGCGACGACAGTCTTGGAGAAACTCGTGCCATGCCAGAGCTGCGCGTACGTAGGCGTGATGTAGCCGGTCAGTAGTCGCAAGGAGGTGCAGCTTTTCATCCAGTTCATGGCTCTGCGTCAAGAAAGAGTCACGAAACAGGTGCCTCTCAAGCGCCTTCCCACACGCTGCAAGTCCGGCCACAACTCTCATTTGCTTCGCTGCCGGCTGCAACGAGCAGGCCAAATGGCACACATCGACTAAGGAAAACAGCAAGGGCGAGCGATGTTTGTTCCTTCTACCCATAATAACTTCGCGTGCGGCGCTGCCCCTTTTCACCCGCCCCCTGGGCCTGACTCCGCCCGAGCGATCCTACACAGTCCCTGTCGGATAAGCCCAGGCGCGTCGAATTCCACAAGAGCCGTATCGGCCGCTTGGTCAAGTCGGTTGTAGACGGAGTCAACTCGGGCAGCACCACCAGCTTCATACTGGTCTCGAGGCAGATAGCGCGCTGATCAGTTCGACTTTTGTGATAAATCCGCCCTCGATTTGGGAGGTAATATGACGGCAAATCGAAATGGTCGAGCTGCTTCATTCATGATCATTGTCAGTTGCGCATTCTCCTAGTCGCTGCAGTTCAGTGCCGGCACCAATAGGCTTAATGTTCCCGATTATGCCGGCAAGCTTTAGTCGGACGAGGCCCCTCTTGGAGGTATTGATGGACTTAATTGCGAGTGTCTCCTGCGTGGCGTTTGACGGGGGCATGCGGCGCTGGCAGTTGCATTGTAGGACACGGGATCCTGCAAAAGCAGTGTAGTACGTACCCGTAGCACCTGTGTCTACCACAATGATGGTAGCAAAAGACAATTCGCAGCTTGTTACTCGTCTGTAGGCCGACTTGCCTCTTAATATTAGTAATGTCTCTTTTCGGGACAATTTTCTCGCGTACGGCGCCTAGTAGAGCGGATCGCTGGGCATGGGGTCGCCATGGAGTAGACTGTGCGATGTGCCAGCAACGAATTCCGACGATGTGCATGACAGGGCATTGCAGGGCTTTCAGCCATAAAGACGGCTTGCGCGGTGTGCAGCACCTGAAATTTTCATGGTATTCACGATGAACCCTGCCAGTAGAGATTAGGGTCGAATCAGCCACTGCAGAGCAGCCAACGTTCCCGTGTACAGCCATGGCTCTTGGTAGCCCTCGGACGCGCCACGGATCCCAGCAGCGGCACAGAAACAAAGCAAAGCATTTCCGTACCATGCAGCTCCGACCTTGCATTGAATAGACGCGAGCATGAATCGAAAAATGGCTTGGCCTAGACCTGTGCGGGCTTCAGCCGACTCATAGCCATCATACTCATCATCCGTGGTAATGCTGTCCTCGTCGCTAAAATAGCCACTGTCCTCTGCTAGTAGCTGTGCCTTGTTCTTGCTTTCTAATAGACGGTCGAGTTCTGTTTGAATCTCCTGCATAATGTCGCTCATCAGACCCCATTGCTCTGTGGTAAAGGCCATGCCTAGTTCCTCTTTAGCCCGTGCTCGACCTAGCTGGTGTGCCCGCCAGCAGAAGCCAAGATAGCGGTAGCCGATGGCCATGTATTTCTGTCTGGATCTTTCTTCCTTGTCGTAGCTGAATGGCAGACTATTGGGCTTGCCAGCCTCCAGGCCGTGTAGACACTGTAGTGTCTCCTTGGGCACAGCTTTCACCCGCCAGCTGCAGTGATCCACTTCACGATCGAAGCCTTCGCATAATAACTGCAAAGCCCTGGCCTCTTGTTCCGCTGCCTCGTCGACTGGCTCTCTGTTTTGCTCGGTTTTGCTGGCGGCCCGGATGGACCGTGCTGCTTCGTGTATCTGTCGAAAGCTCTTGCCACTAAAGTGCTGCGCCCATTTCATCTCCTTAATCCAAGTCGAGTCATTCGTCAACCCAGTCCGGCCGTCACCCACGTCTAACCTTTGCTTGGCTTCTTCTTTAATGCATTTGCGGTTTCTTCAATCATAGCCTCCATCAAGCTGGGTACATGTTTTGTGCTCTGCTAGGGCGCGCTGGCCTGGCTGCCACTACTCTGTACGACCCAGTAGCTTGTGTCCCTGCCACGCTGCCAGCTTTGTAGTTGCACGTCAGTGCACTTGTCGCCTTTTCTGTTGTGGCCTTCTGTGAGCCAATGCCTCGTTATGGTGTTGCGTGCAATCGTCAGGTATCGGCATTGCGAGCAGCTAAAGCCCTTTTCCGTGCGCAGTATTGCGTGTGGTGGGCTGTTGTCTGGGCGTCGCTGCACACTCCTGATCTCGGCCACGTCCAGTAACGCCGTATAATCCATAACCTCCCTTAACTCTTGCCCCTTAAGTCCATGCTTATCGCGTAAGTGCCGGGCCATAGATTGTCGTGGCGGGATGGCAAAGCGACAGACCCTACATAGTATTACCTTGTATTCGTCGTCGTAGTAGACATATCGGTCAGTGACTGCTGACATCCCTAAAACATATAATGTAGCTTAAGAAGAACACCGAATATTTATTCACAAATAATAGACTACGCAGAAAATGAATCCTATCTCTACGCAAGTAGTCGTGTCCTATCGTGTTTTGGCGTCACGGCTGATGTTACTTCCCCTGTCAGTCATGCTAACCCAAGCTGCTAACCCTGACTCCCAAAATGGAAATTAGTGCTCCAATTCTGTTGTCACGATGTTGTTGACAAAGCTCGGGCCACTTCGGGTAGGGCCACACCAAAATCAGGGTGCCGATGTCAATGATATCGGCTGCGAAC